TAGGGTGCACAGAGACATAAGAACGTCGGGTACAACTGCGAGGCTTGGGGCATGCTACAGGGGAGGTAGGAGGCGTAGCCCATAAGGCTGGGGAAGCACCAGGTCACACCTTACAGGACAGGGGCCAATACGCACTTGGTACCGTGTCCAAGCGGACAGAAGGCAGCCTCCCATATAAATTTATATAACACCAAGACGTGGCAGGAAAGAACGAGGGTGCCAGACAGGCGACTTGGCACGGTAGGGGCGCCAGGAGGAATCATGGCCGCTCCTGCGCCCCGCACCGTGACAGACTTCTATGATGCAGACAACAGAGACAGTTTTCACCTGATCTGGCCCCTGAAAGGGTTTTACAGCCATGACCAAACACAAGTACATGGCTGCAGAGAGCTTTAAAAGGGCCAGATCCTGCAACAATCTGAACCCTCATTACATGGCTCAGATGAAGGTGCTCTGAAGCGGAGCGCATTCATTAACTTCTGTCTGTGCATGCCAGGAGCAGGGCTCAGCTGATACAGCCCAGCCCTTGGAGATGTTTTCAGAATGGGAGGCAGGGAAGGGAGCAAAGGGATCTCATTCTGGGGGTTTCCCAGCTGGCACTGGAGGGTGGGATGGGTGGATTGGAGCCTTGGTGGGGGCTCCAATCCACCCCCGCCACCCCACTCCACCATGGCTTGGGAAACCCCAGAACAGACCTCCCCCTTCTGCCTTCTCCTCCTCCCATCTTGAGACAATGGGAGCTGGAAGTTGGGGGGGGGGAGGCTCTCCCTGGATCTTAAAGCTCAATTCCCCCACCCTTCTGACCCAACAGCTAATGTCTGTTGCATCAGGAAGACCGTTCTAACTCATGGCACTTTTTGTGAAGTGCCATGAGTTAGACCTGGGAGCTGCCCTTCTGTCTGCACCTCTATAATTCAGCTGGGCACTCTTTGCATGGATGGAACTCTCCTTGGAAAGCTGTGATTTGTACTGGTATATAGTAAAACCCTCACCCCGCCTCTGAGTAAAACAAGGTCTATGGGTAAAAACATAGTGCCACCAAATTAACTAAAGCTACTAACAATTGGGGCCTGAATGATTCATGAGTATACTGCTGGTATCCTTCCTCCTGTCACTTTTACCCTGGGAAATCCTAAATCAGATTTGCCTGAAATGAGATATCACTGGAAGCTCAACCTCTTTAATAGAAATGACTTTGATAGCTCTAATCAGAAATATCTGAATGGCTTTCTGTACCTCAGCTTACTGATTTCTAATAAATCAGTATTTATTAGATCAGTTGAGTTGTCTTGGAAATATTTGTTCATTCCTAATGGGGAAGCTGTGGGAGAACCTTTTATTCAACGCAGTGGAAAAAGTGATGAAGCCCGGTATCCTTTTGGAAATCTGCACAAGCTACGTTGATAATGTGGCCATGAAATCAGTTGTTTTGCATTGCTGTTCATTTGTGGTGCACAAACGCAACACATTTTCCATTGCTCCATTTCATCCTGTCTAGCAATAGAAGTTGAATGTAAAGTCTCATCTCTGGCATCAAAATTCAGGCTATGTTACAAATAATCACCTTTTCTGACTCTCTTGTGGCTCCTTTCTCATCTGTGTCTGTTAAGAGCTGGCAGAGGAAGCCATTTGCAGGGCACAACAACATCTTTTTTTGGTCCAGTGAAACCAGCAGCTATTCTCTATGTTCTTAAGTGCTGCCTATTGGCATTTTTTCTGTTGGCTGCTTGCATATGTGCAGCCATCCAGCTTATGATCATGCTTTGGGTAACTAAGTGGGAGGAAGGCAAAAATGGCCCCACAGATGCTTTTCCTGGCCTGGGGTTGATCAGGTAAGAGCAGTCACCAGTCTTCTCAATCAGAGCTACCCCAAGAGAATCGTTCTGTTAGATATGTGCACCCCTCTCCCTGTAGCATCATTCCCACAGAGTACCCAAAGAAGATGATATGATGGATACCTCAGTGATGGAAACCTCAACTACTACATTTGGAGTCTTTTTTGGACTGAGTAACATTCTGGCCACCACAACAGACCACAGTGGTGACCTATTATATCTGGTCTTTATGCTTATTATTATTATTATTATTATTATTTATATTACAGTGGCATCTTGAAGATGGAGGACAAGGGAGGTCCCATTGTGCTGAATACTGTCCAAATGTATAGTAATAGACAGTTCCTTTTCTCTACGGAGTTTACACACAGGCAAACAAGCCTGGGAGGAGAAAGGTCCTGGAAAAGAGAAGCAACTTGGCCAAAGTCCTACAACAATAATGGCAGATCACAAATCCAGATCCTGTGATTCTGCCTGCATTCTGTGCTGCTGTTATGGCTTTCCATTAGAATACCATTATTTTTTAACACAAACTCTTCCCTTATGTTACAGTGAAAGAAAGTGAAGAACTTTGAATATCCAGAAAACAAAACAAACAACAAAAAAAGATTGGTCATTCTGAATTACTACTAATAAAATAAAATTGAAAAAACCCCTCAAACACATTACAATGATGCACCTATTTGATTGATGAAAACTATTGTTGATTTCATCCAAATTCTTTGGCAAGGCAAAGTAGCGATTTCTTTCTTTTTTTTTTTTTGCTAACATTTTTGTGGTGCATGTCTATACTACATTCCATTCAGGCTCTATTTAATATGCACCAGAATTATTGTATTTGATATATATCAACTTTAAATCTGTTTCAACACAACCTTGAATGCCTTTCTTGCAGTATATCACTTCATCAGTCTAGCTTAACTAGAGCTGCTTTTTCATTTTTTATTGCCCCCATAAAATCTAGGAATGGAACACTTCGATTTTTCTAGCAGTAATTTTTATTACTTTTAGCCTTTTTTTTAAGTACTTGTCAGTGAGATACAGTACTTTGTACAGAGTATATTTTTCAGCTCTGCATTATATTTTTATTTCAATTTATTTTAGACAGAATGTGTAGCATACATCTAAATAATACCTATGGTATTTCAAATGAGTGTATTATGAATATAATTAGAATGGATATAAACCTACTTCGTCCATCAGGATTCCTATATTTTGTTGCCTGCACCTAAGCGTATGGTCTCTTTCAAGTAAGCCTTTAAATGATAACTCACATTGTGGTTTTAATGCTGAGCATAAAATCATATTGCAATGTAGGAGGGGGAAAATGAGTTTATTGTAATTTTTATGTTTTTATTTTAATTTTTTAGAGCCATCTAGATTTTTCCTTGGAGTGAGTCGTACCAGAACTTTTTATTTTCCAACCTTAGGAACATAGAAATTGCCATATTAGATTAGACCGGTGATATGTCTAGTCTAGTAGTGTGCCTGTTTCTTAACAGTGACCCATCCTAGACTGTAAGAGGAAAATGTAAAATATGATGCTACGTGTTATGGAAATGTCTGTCTACTGGGAGAGTTTCTTCCTAACCCTCCTCAGTTTCAGGTTAGTGTGTGCCTTGTAGCATGAAGGTTTATAGCCTTCCCAAAAAAATGAAGATACAGTTGTTTAATTCTCCCCTTCCCTTCTGTTCCCTCACTGGAGATATTGGTTCTAGTCCAGGTCCTGCCACCTTTCTTGACTTCCCTCAGACAAGTCATTTTACCTTTCTGTTCCTTGATTTCCTCTCTCTAATGATCCTGACCTTAAGTAAAAGCCTTGGGGACTTACGAATCAAATACACAATTTAAGATCTACACAGCATTGGATTTAAAACATATTTTAATTCTTCGTGTTGTAACTCCAGATATTCTCACCATCCATCTAAATGTCCAGTCCTTTGGTAATTCTGAGCATCTCTTGGCCCTGTGATATATTGTGGCTATACGTTCTACAGTCTAATTGTATACTATGTAAAGAATTATATTTTGTTTGTATTCAGTGGAAATTAACTGTTACTTTCCAGAAACCTTAGGGATAGAGAGTGGCAGAAGGCAGGGAGGCAGCTTTGCATTTCAACTGATGGGTGAAATTGTACGTTTACAGTTAGCATTTGCATTAGAACATCCAATTAGCTTTTGCACTGTTTCAATTAATAGTGCTAAATGTTAACTTATGTACATGAGAGATTAATGTTTCTGTAAGAAAAAGAAAACTGTGACCAGATGTGTCTAAACAGCACTCCTCAGCTATGTCATAAATATCCCCTTGTTATTCTCATTTTGCTGAATGAATATTAATAATAAATTTTAAATAATACCTATCATAATACAGCGTGAGTGGCGAATAGGAACTCCTCTCTAACTAATTAGAGCTGTTGAATGACATTGGGAAAGGGTCCTGGGTTAAATCACCATTCCTTGGACTGGGCTGAATTAGCATAGATTTAATGCCAGTGATAATTTTATGCAATTGTGAGATCAGTAGTTTAATGCATCTGGCAGAGAGACAGGGATTTTCTTTCTCTTACAGCACTGAATAAACCCCTATAATCCTTTTCCTTTAGCGCTCACGTCTATCCAGGCTTCAATTTAATAAAAGGCCAAAGAAATCAGGATTCTGCTGAGCTTCTGTGGCTCAAACACAGAGAGAATGAGATGTTATCTCAGGGTGGTTGTGGTTCAGAATCATTAAAAAGACTAATGGGTGGATTGGAGGGCTACGTTTATATTTCCACTTGCTTGTATACTGCAGAAAACTCCCTTCTTAACAGTAAAGGGTGTATGTTTTCTTTAATCTAGTAGCCCAAAAACTAAAAGGAAACAAAAGCGCCTGAAGCAATCACCACTTCATAGTTTTATTTTTACAACATTTTATGTATGTTTGTGTTAGTTTGTATTATAGCTGGACCAAATGTGAAAACTCCAATCCAGACTGATTCATTTTTAGCCAGGGCAGGGTAGGAGCTGTTGAAAACTGCCTGGGGCGATCCTTTCTAGTGCAATACAGGTTATAGTGATCCTACAAACCCCTGGAATTAGGCTACATTTCCCTGAGCACCATCCACTGATACTTTATTTAGTAACTACCTACCTATAGGAGAAAGAGGTAGTTAGCTTTGTACTGTTACTGGTGCCGCCCTGCCCTGCCTTCTACCCATAGGTAGAAACTGAGCACTGCTGTAGTTAGATGGATGTATGTGTGTGTCTGTATACAGACCTTTCTTGAACAGGCTCATGTTGTTGTGATCTTCTTGCTTTTTTGAATATAGTAAAACCTATTTGCATGACTTTTCCACAGACCTGGTCATTCATCTCCGAAGTAACCTTGAACAATAACCTCATCCGGAATGGAATTCTTCTTGGCCCATTTTCTGCCTTAAATGTGGAATATATCTGGCTCTGTCTTATTGCCAGTCAACTGAGGGCTGAATGGAGACCAACTTGTACATGTGTTTAGAGAGTGCTTTTGGTATCCTTACTTGGTACTGAGCCAGTAAGTTGGCATGTAAGGCCAGATGCTCGAAGGATCACAGGTTCCACTTACACACCTAAATAAGTAGTTAGTTCCTCCAAAGGCCTGTCAGTAGTTGCTGAGCTCTTCTGAAACCCTGGCCCTAAATTTTCCCAGGGGAGCTGCAGGAGGCCAACCTCCTAATTCTGGTACCTAACCTGAGGAAGAGCTACACAGATGCAGAACACCTCGCTGCAGCTGCACTGTGAATATCAAATGAAAAAATGCCCATTTCACTGCTCTGTTCTCCACTTATTTTTCCCCTTCATTGGCAGACTGACTAATATATCACTATAACTAGAAAGCATTTCCTGTTAAAAGCATGGTTGCAATTGGATTCTGATTGTCTTGTTGCCTGTCTGAAATGATCATAGGGACCTAGGAGATTCCTGATTGGATTGCACTCAAAATTGAGTCCCGCATCCTGTCTCTGACAGTGGCCAAGCTGGGGGTTTCACTGATTGATATAAAAATGATGCTGTAAACAAATGAAGAATAATATGTTTCCCCTTAGTTCTCATACTGGTTTCTGATAGTGGGAATATTTTAAGACCAGAAGCACAAGGTTTAATATCCTTTTCCAAATAGGCCATCGTTAATTATGGTAACTGTATGTTGACCCTTTTTTTTTAAGATTCTGGCCTCAGTGCTTTTTTGTGGCAGCAAGTTTATTGGCTTAATTGCAGAACTTTTTTCATTCTTTGAGAGTGATGGATAAGAGCATAGTGTTAATTTGTTAACTTGAAGAACAGAAGCTTAAGACTAAAGGGGCATAAAAATGGTTTCTTTCTTTTTCGCCATTTGTTTCTTGGTTGAAGTGGAAGATTGACAGGGAAGGGGAACATCTTTGACTCAAATGAAACATATTGACCAGTTTCATTTGATGCTTTATTTTCTCTCAGCTTGCTTCCCTGTTTGGTGAAAACAAATTTAACCTGAATTCACAATTAGTTTTTGCAAACACGTATTGTGAGTCTTAAAAAAAATCAGAAACATTTTTCCAAACTTCATTAGAATTCTTAGAAATGTCTCGCATGAGTTCAATTAGACAAGTGCATAACCATTTATCAGACTGGTAAAGCATAATAGCATAAAAAACTCATGTGTGTTTACGTAATCTCAGTGGAAACTATGCACATGCTGCAATGGGGAGAATAAGGTTTTAATGTAATCTGAGGTTTTATGTTGGGGCTTCAGTATTGTATTTCTGTTGGGCATGTGGACAAATTTAATGCAACTGTTAAGAGACCAATGTCTTGGTCTCTTAACAGTTAGTCAGTTAATTGGGTTCCAGTGTATTGCTCATAAATTGTAACCTAATGATAATGCTGACCCAAAATAGAAGAGAGCAAGTCATAAAAGTGTCAGGTTAATTGAAATTCATTTTAGAACTATTGTTTTATGGCCTTGGCTGGCTGGAATTTTAATTCAGGATGAATTTAAAATAAAGTTTTAACTGGGATTGTGACTATGAAGATATGAATATAAACGGGGTATATTATTTGTCTTCTGTTCATTCCATACGACATGTGCTGTGGTGCATATTGGCAATAAACTGCTGCTCCTGAAAGTTTCCAAAACCAAGATCTGACACAGAGCAGGCACTAAGACATGTAAAGCATAGCAAACATATAATTAATGATGGAGGCAAGGATTTTTGATCAAGTCTAAGGAGTTAGTGGCCAGCTGAACAAAGTTTTTTAAATGCCTATAAAAATGCAGCCAGGCACCTACTGGGCTCTACAGAAGTGCCTATGCAGGGATGTAGCTGAAGTTCCATTTTGTTTTCATTTGGGCACTTGGCACCCAAATCTGTCTCCAGGCCGGTGAGAATAAGGGAGAAAATCCCACCTCTCATGTCCTAGGTTCTGCTGCCCAAATGTACAGGTGCACTGCAAATGATGGAAAGCTAGGCCTCTGCAAGTGGGTGCTAGGTGTTCCAGAATGTGTTAATTAGTGCTAATCAGTCTTAACCATGAGAGGTCAGTCAAGTCATTTCATATTCCATTGTTTAGAGCTGGCTGATAAAAGGAGAAATATGTTTTCCTTCTATTTTTCATTGCAACTTTTTTACTGTTTCTAGACTCCCTTCTGAGTTTATCTCCCTACCTGGCTAAAGCTAGAAAATGGTTTACCCAGTCTTGATCTCCCACTGTAATGTTGCTACATTTTAACAGTCAAAGGATTGGGCTTCAAACTTGGTGCTGACTTCTTTAACGCAGAGGCAATCTGTAATTGTGGCATGACTAGTAAGGGGGTGTCAGGCTCATTCCGTTGCTGTATCTCTTTGTTTTTGCTAAATTAATTGAATGGAGTTTCTTTCCTCATCGTGCTGTGCCCCTGTCCAATAACCATTGCTGTCAATAAAGAGCATTGTTTTGAGGATTTTCTCTTTTCCCCCTTTACCGTGTCCAATCAACCAGCATTTGAGGATGGTCGTTGTGCAATGCTCAGAGTTCAAGTTGTTGGGTTCCTTCCCACCCCATGAGCTTGAATGTCTGACAATAATCATGCATGAAAACAGACCCAAAATAGCCAAGATTATTCAAGAACTGAATTGTTAGCCAGCAGTTTGAATTTAGGGATGAGATTGTCATCTTGGAAAATGTCAGTTGTTTATTTTAGGTACAACCATTAGATACCGAACAGCACACAAGCTGCATGTCCAGGTGACTTGGGTACACTACAATTACTGAAAGACATGGCAGTACTGAAAGTCATTTCAGTTTTTTTGAAAATTTTAACTTTATCTCCCAGTTTGACTGGGGAAGGGATTCCATAATGCCAGGGCTGCTGCGCTAGAGATGTCAGGAAAGCTTTTCAACGAGAACCAGGAGGAGCTGAAAACAGGATGCAAGGTTGTTTAAAACAGTACCAGATGGGGATTCAGGAGATAAATAATTTCCCTAGCCACTGCAAACACTTCAGTACTGGGACAGTCTCTGACTGCATGTGTGAAATTCAAATGAGTATTAATTTTCAAAATAATACTTAACGTTTTTCATTAGAAAATCAGTATCATTGTAACAGTTTTACAGAAGAGTAAACCAAGAAGGGAGGTGAGATGACTTACTCACTGTCACCCAGCAAGTCAGTGGTGATGCAGATTTTAATGTCCCTGTTTTGTAGTTTAATCCCTGTATTGTGTTGACATTTTAGTAATAATACCATTTCTAAAAGTTATGGATTTCTTTTTGTGAAGATGAGTTTTATGTTTGAGGTCTTCATTTTCCAATAAAACTTGAAATCTCTTTTCTCATTATGTAAATAATATAACACAGTTTTTTTTAAGACTCAAGAATAAAGGCTCTTTCAGAGACATTGAATCCATTGTTAGCTGCTAGTACAGAGGACGTGCTTTGATGATTGCTTTAGACTTCAGAGGTTTCACATTGCTTGTTTAGCCCCATTCTTCAGGATCAAAGGAGCTTGTTCACAAGTTGGTTTGTTTATGTACAAGGATTATATTTGTTAGTTGGCAGTTTAATAGGAATTATAGTTAAATAGAACCACAACACTCATATTTCAGCATTGTGGAGATTATTAAATGCTGACCTTGGATTAAATTGAAGGCCCTTTTCCATCCCCTTTACCCATGAGTCTGGAGGACAGAGGTAAGTTGAAACACCTTGGTATAAATAATGCAAGGCCCCTGCATTCATTGTAGCTAGAAAGCCCACTGAAGCAAAAACTCCTCTGACGGTGATCCTGTACTACTGAAGTTGGTGGGAGTTTTGCCTTTGATATCAATATAAGCAGGATCAGGTTTTTTGAGTGCAAAGAAGGAAAGAGTAGTCCCTTCTACTGTCTTTTGTCTACTCCAGTCAAAGTCAACAAAAGTTCTACCATTAACTTGCACAGAAGTAGGGTGAAGCCTCCTCCAGTCTAGCATATAAGTGTGTAGCTGGGATGCAGGCATGTGTGATTTTAAAATGCAAGGCAATGGCTGAGTTGCAGGAGTCTGGCACATGATTTAAATATTATTTCTCAGTCACTGTGAGAGATGGTACGGAAAAATGCCAAGGACTTGATCCAAAGCTCAGTTACTTTGGAACGGGGCCTAAAAAAACAGTATGACACTGGGCTTGGAATGAAGGGCAATGGGGAGAAGGTAACATATGCATAGATAAGCAAACAGACAAAAAGAAACCTTAATTCTTATTATGCAATTTGAGGGAAGATTAACATGTTCAGTCACTGTTTAGTTGTTTTGAAACCTCGTAGTGCCCTGATTTTTCCTACGCTGTCCCCATAAATTAACACATTATGTGACCTTAAATATTTGCATTTACTTCTTGCAAAAAGTGCAGTAGAAATGAATCTTTTAAGAGGCAAATTGTATAACTGGATACATCCTCATCATGCCCACCAATTTTTCAAAAGTTTTGGCTTCTTGAGAAGTCCACATTGAAAGGTTTCCCCGAACTCTTTTAATATTTCTGAATTGAAATAGTAGAATTTTAAAAAGTTAACTTTTTGTCGTGGTTCAGGATGAAAATTACATGTATTGTGCATGCTGGGATATCTTAAGATGAAAACGTCTTTTGACCAGCTCTTCTTGGCTAGACTGGTTACATCTCCTTGTCACACTAACATTGCAGTAGGAACCACTGTATGAAAGAAAATACTGCCAGAGGGAACATGGCATGAAAGCAGTGTGCTACAAAAGCACACTAAAGCTGGCAGATTTTTGGTTCTCTGATACTTTTCAAATTACGTGAAAAAAACCCCAAAATCCATGAAAATACTTTCTGATATATCTGCCTTTGCTTCACCAAAGCCAAAAAAAATCTTTTTTTTTCTTTTCCTTTGTTAAAAATAATGACTAAAGAAAAATGGGACCTTTTCAAACTCAGATTGAAAGCCAATAGGACTTGTTATACTAACGCAGTTGGCAGCTCTTGAAAACTTACCTTTTGGTTTCTGTTGGCTCCAGGAAATTACTTAGATACTTGTCTGTTCAGGTAGGCCCAGCATGCATGCCAAACAAGTTGTAAGGCTAAGGGTTATGTCTGCTAAATCCTACAGTGTCTTTCATCATCCCAACAACCTTTCCATTAAGTGAAGGGTTTGTTTTGGTTTGGGGTTTTTCCCCCCCTCCCCTCCAGTCTAAAATCTGTATTTTCAAAAGGCAATGGTAGCTTTGAGCAGTGGGTTTATATACATCTTGATTACTCACGGTATGCCCTGGGAGAAAATAACAGTAGAAAGAGTCCATAGCAATTATTGATGGAGTATTTTGACAAATATTTAATATTGTCATCTGTGTCCTATAATGGAACTATTTATTTGTGCTGAGTAGTGCCTTGGGGTCCCAACTGGGAATCGGAGTTTCATTGTGCTTGGTACTGTACAACTGATGAACAGAAGTGAAAAGACAGTCTCTCCCTAGAGAACTCAGAATTCATTTCTATTCTTCTTATGCTGTCACTTAGTTCTGCTGAGATGGTAATTTGGAAATCAGAGATGGACTAAATCTATAGGGACTTGGTCTTCTTTTGCTTACCATGGTTTTACTCTGGTGAAACCTCATTAGTACCAGTGAATTTACTCCTGATATATAACTGTGAAGGAGACTTGCCTTGCCTTGTCTCTGCTCTTTATTTACTCTGTCCTTGATGAGGCAAATTCCCAGTGAAAGCTATTGAGAGTGTGTGATTGGTGAAATGAAAGCTGAGTAAGGGCCCTGGTTCCCAGCAGGTATTGAAAACCAATCCTGCAGCTTTCATGATTATCAGAAAAACAGGATTTGCTTTTTACAGTAATGTATTCAATACTGAAATATCCTGGAAGCTTACCCTAACAGTGTTGCCAGCTTTCATACATTCATCCCATGTCTCATGGTATTTGGATTTTCCCCAGGAGTCCTGGCTTCTGGAATTGTGTCAACACCTGAGCATCTCAATGAGAATCACATTTTTAAAAGTTTCTTCTCCCCCCGGATTCACAAAAGGGCCTGAAACTGTAACCAGAGTATAGCCTAATGGCCAGATATCCAAAAGTATATATTTCGGTTATTTTTAAAATGCTATTTTAAAGCCTAACTTACCATTTTAGTGGGGTTGGGGAATTGACTCATCAGATTACAAAGCTTAAGGCTATATTTTCTAAGAATAAAAATACTCAGATACATTGTGGGTTGCAGATGAAAAACCTGAACCATGTTCTACTGTTGGCTCTGCTGTTGGTCTGCTGGGTGACCTTGGACAAATCACTTCATTTCTCTGCCTCAGTTTCTCCATTTGTAAAATGGGGGTAGGTATAACCAGGTGGCTTACCTTCTAGGAAAAACAGTTTTCATCAGGTATATTTTATATAAGCTGTAAGTATAATTATAGTGATAAAACTTCTAGTATGACAGTGAGAGGAAAGGTGCAGGGAAATGTGCATCTGGAAGCTGATGGGATGAATTATGCCAGATGTGAACCAAATAATGCAAGTTTGAAATGAAGAATTAGGAGCAAAAAGTCACTCATGCATTTTTCACTGCAGCATTACAACTGCCACCTGGGATTAGTGAGCAAAGATGGCTTTGGAATGGTTCCAAGATGGGCTCTGATATTGAATCCTGCATTTAAAGAGCTATTAAGATGTTAGATGGATGATAATGGACTCTCTTCCCACTGGTATACCTTGAACTCTGTCTTCTGTCTGTCATTCTTGTGCACAGTGTCTATCAGAAATAGTTGTAAAGAGATTAGACAGCCTAGGCCATTTTATCCAAGGAGGACTTTTCCTGGCATATAGTGAAAGAAAGCTATCTACTCCTCTTAATCCTTTGAAAATGCATTCCTGAAGGGAGAAATATATATATAATTTCTGTGCCTGTCTAGAGACCTTTAAGGGAAAAGGTTCTATAAAGTAACATGCAATTCAGATAATGCAGCACTATCTAATTATTTTTAGGTTGACAAGACTGACCTTTCTCACTTTAAAAATGTCACTTTCTTGAGACCTAATATAAGCCACAAATGAAAACCGCAATCTAACTTATTCTGAGGGAAAAAAACCCTATCCTTTTAATCCTTCCACTTTTCTACTTCCTTGACAAAGCACAGTGTTGAGGGGAAAATGACCCTCATATTTATTGCATATACTCATGATCTGGTTTGTAGCTGGTCAAATTTTTTTTGCATTTGTTATTTGAGGAATTTCCATTATTTTCTCCCTGAATTAAATATTTCAGAAGTACTTTATTTGTCTTTTGCTCATCCAGCGAGTCTGATGCAGAGGGATTAGTGCATGGCTTTACAAAAAATTCAGTATTTGCTGAACCAGCCTGAGTCTGAAACCTGGGTTCAGATCCCAGTTACACTTTAAGCTGCTTGCATGGATCTAGGCAAACCACTCTGTTCCTCTTTCCCTCCTCTGCAAACACCTGCTGGGATGTTTCAGGGATAAATACACTAAAGGGTTTGTAACAGAGAGCCCTATCCCTGTTACTAGAAAGCAGGGCATCCCCTTTAAGGACAGAGTCTTCAGGGCACACCCAGAGCAGGGGTTAAATGGTAGCCCTGCAGGCCCATCAGCTGACTGGGGGCTGTCACATGACCGGGAGACAGCTCAGGCCATAGCAATATGGCCCTAGGCTGAGCCAGAAGGAGGTGGCCAGCCCAGGCTGAGACAGAGTGTGAGCTTCTGAATGCCTAGGAGACTTAAAGGAAACAGCTCTGCAGGCTGGGGTATAGGACAGAGTGACCCAGAGAGAAGCCGTGGACTAAGCAGGCACGCTGCCTGTCTTATTTTTCCTTTGTTATAGTCCAGAGGCTTAGTGTTTATGTTGTAGCTTAAACCAGAGTTTTGGGATGATGCTTAAAGGGAAGGTTTGGAGGTCTCATTAGTGCCCAGAGGCACGTAAGTGCCTTGAGCCCTGCTAGGAGCAGGCTCAAAGCTCCAGCAAGTACTGAGCTGTAGTGAAGTCCAGAAAATAGTGCAAGGTGCAGAGAGACAGGGGCCAGGGAGCCTGGCACCAGAGGGCTGCAGAGAGACAGGGGCCAGGGAGCCAGTGGCAGGAAAGGAGGAAGCTGGGCTAGCACCTCAAAACTAGGTCCAACATAGTGGGCCTAGGCTAGAAGACACATTAAAGGGTCAGTGGCCGAATAGGCTGAGGCTCCAATGGAGGTGACAATAGTCACGTAACGCCTGTGAGGCATGATGTAGGGTTTGCATGGAGCCATGCAATTATCCCTTAAGGCAGGAGCTCCTCACCTTCAGTGTTCTCTAGGGTGAAGGCCTGATCTTGGAAGCACTGGGGCAGCCTCCCCTTTGAGAACCAAAAACGAAACATCAAGACATGGCAGGCAAGTGAAGAGGAGACTGTTCTCAGGAGTGAATTGAAATAAAGGAAACTCCAGGGTGCCTCCAGGGGTTCTTGACCACCCTGGGGATAGCTCCCTGTTACAGGGTTCAACTGTTAGGGGTAATGGGGTCATAGGAGTAGAGCTGTGCACATGACAGTCCTTGGTTTAATGGCCAAATACATCTCTCTCAGAAGTCCTTTCAGTGAAATAAAAATGGATTTTTTTTTTGGCAAAATGACTTAAAAGGCAAAATAATTTTAACTCATTTGAAATGTGCCAAAATGCCTTGTTTCTGCATTTGTATTTTTCTTTTTTTGGGGGGGGGGGGGGGGGGGGGGGGGGGGGGGGGG